TTTATTAGAAAAAACTTTGCAGACATATAAGAGAAAAGACTTTGATATTGCACAACCAATTAATCTGTTGATACCATTTATGCTGAAAAGAACGTGTGCCGACTTTAGATTTCAGCGAAGGAGTCGGTCGGCCTAATTTAATAATTTCTCTCTTTTCCGCAATATTCGTCTTCCCAAATGCATTTGCTTTAGGATCTAACACTATATCATTCTCCATTATTGGCAAATTAATTTTTATCAATAGAGTAGGTGTCTTTTTGACAAAAATAAAGAATTAAGCATACAGAAACTTTTAAAATAATTCTCTTGTGATGATTTGAGCGATTAATTGAAGATTTTAGAGAATGGTTAGGTACATTGCTCAACGCATAAATGAAATTGGCATAAGCATTGATGTTTTATAGTAAGCGGCATTTTGAATGAAAAATAAAAAAAAATCAATTGAAAGAAATATGTCCAAAATTATTTTTACATTTTAAGTTCTTTACACATTAAGTTCAGTGAAGCCTCGAATAAAAAAAAATGAAGTCCCTAATTAATAGTGAGTTAAACTCTCAGAGAAGCAGGGAAGTGAGTGCATATCCATTTTCAGAAAGATATAAAATTATTCTTTATTCTTTATTTAAAAAAAGATTATATACATATATACGTGTATTTATGTTGCAATCTCTCTCTTATACACGTTTCGTTAAACACGACTGAGAAGGTATTGCGATTATGTCGGGTGTAACAGCAAAATTGTCCAAATCATGTAAAAGCAAATTTGTTCATTTGTAAGATTAAGTTTTGAACCGTTTTAGAAATGATTAACGATATCTTACTGGAATTCTCCTATTGGTTTATACATTGAGCAATAAGAATGTATAGTTACTCTCCAAGCTAAACAGAAGAGATCGATCATAAACGAAAAAGACATGTTTATCATTAATTAGTCATAGCTTAAGATCGGAGGCACATGAAGGATTGAAATAAAGTTCAAATATATATATATATATATATATATATATATATATATATATATATATATATATATATATATATATATTATTCCAGGATCATTTCCAGCTTATTCAAGATAATCTTCGCGCTCTAACCTTCTAATTTTCTGTTCCGAAATAACAAGGTGCCTTACAGGCTTCACGTACAATTTCATTTTTATGCCTTTTTTTTTTCACTGCTCTTTTGACTGTGCGAAACTCCTCTCTCACGTGCCAAACGTCTTATGGATTGAGTTGAATCTTTTCTAAGTGATCTCTTTAGCTCTAAGTTGAAATGATGAATCCTCTTCCTGTTGTGACCTCCTGATCCAGTTTTCTTCTTTACTGTTCCGTTTTTTTAAACTTATTCACCATTCTCTGGATGGTTCTTGAATGGACTTTGAAGACGAAAGTCAGAGTATAAATGTTGGTATCATTACTGAAGGCATAAATGATCTTTTTCCTCTCCCTATTGCTCATTTGAGAAGACAGTGGAGCTAACATAAAACAATTTTACCCTGTTCACTTTCTAGCTGAATAACTCAAAGATTTTTTCAGTGACAAGATAGATAAACATTTTATCTAACCTGGAAAAAAGAAAGTTAATTATTTAAGTGTTTTTTTCGATATTAAACATTTTGTGGGATGGGCAATTATGTTGTTACACGATTTGGACAATTTTGCTGTTACAAGCGGTATTTAAAATTCTATCGATTAGTGAGTCTCAGCCAAATTTCGCCTAATTCAGAAATTCCATGGCTATCACTTTCACGTGAATTGGCGCCACTCTATTCATTTCTTTGGCTTTACCTAAAGGAATGTTTATGCATCGATAATTGCCATACAATTATACAATGAAGCAGCTCAAGGACAACATCTGGGCAGAGAATTCGATGTCTGCAGCCAGATTTATTTACTGCTCTTACTTCGGCAACCAAAAATGGAGGAAATCTATGCAGCATCATTTTGCATAATTAAAACTATTTGGGTGGGGGAGAAAATGCTTATGAAACTATAAACACATGCTCCCTTCACACACAGGCATATATATATATATATATATATATATATATATATATATATATATATATATATATATATATATGTGTGTGTGTATATAATGTGATGGATAAATTGTCGACTAAATTACACAGAAATGTAAATAATACTGTTATCTCATTTTAACAGATAAATTAACAAAATTACACGAAAATATCATGATATACTAAAAAAATAAATTTATTCAATAAAATCGCCATTGGCTTCAACCATCGTCTCCAGACGACTTTAGAATCTCCTGCAACTCTTCTGAACGGTCTCCTTGTTTAAGTTCCCATAATCCTTGCCTTCATTTCATCTTTTCAGTTTTATTGGTCTCTCGCTCAATTGCGCCCACGCTTAATAATCAGGGGTGGGGTTGCAATCTGGGGAGTTAGGTTGCCAGATGTAAGGGGTGATGTGGTCGCAGAAATTGTCTCAGACAACGATGACTGGGTTCTCTTGATTGTGTGGTATGGTGCAGAGGTCTGTCGCCAGAGATAGGATCTTCCAGCAGCCACCCTCTTGACCCATGACAGCACTAGATTCCCAAGGCACTGAGTCTGAGGACATCACCATCAAATTCGGGAGTCAGTAACAAATTCAGGACTTCTTTCCTGAAATATTTTCTTAATCAGAGTGAGTTTTCCGAGTTGCCGTACCTTCGTAATCACCATTAGACTCATCCAACTCTTTCCGAATTCTTTGCACTCTCCTCACATTGACACCCAAACACCCTGAAATGTTCGTATTGGACCTTCCGGTGCAAATGCCCAGTAGTACAGTATGCAGTTTCCACATTTCTGTCGGAGTGAATTACGTCATGATGCTCTTTTTCTTCCAACTGACTCTACTATACTGACGACAAAATTAAAATCAAACAACGCGCATGCGCAAAATTAAAAATATAACATGGCGGTAATTTACCCATCGCAGCCTTTATATCTATAGTTTGTATACGTAATGACAAAATGGACAAAAGATTAATAATGCTTTTATCGATCGACCAAGTTTTTTATGTAAAAAGGGGAATAGGATATGCAGCTAAATACAACAAATGACCGTTGCAGTTTACATCGAAACGTTAAAGTTACAGTGATGCTCAGCTTTAAATTTAAATGTTCTCGTCTGATTCATCTAGATACTTAATTTAGCTGATCTCATTCCGGTTTTCATCGCTTTTGTTTCTGTTACCGTTACTTTTTTACGTTTATCTCGTAAGGTATCAACAATGATTTTTTTTGAGGAAAAGAGATAAATTAATGCACTTACTCTTTGAATTAAAACAGCATTCTTTAAGTCGGAATTATGATCAGATCTATTACGATATACAACCAAAACACTGAACGTAGTGTTTTGCAAAATATCCCATTTATATTCCCAAAACATTTATTCAAAACCTTATATTTCTCCTTTATATGCTGTAAATTTCTGCTGTCAGTTTGAAATTTTATTTCTTTTTCTGTTGATTAAATTTCTTATTGTTTATGAAAAAGTTTTGACAACTTTTATATCAAATTTAGATAAATTTTCTTCACCTGTAGTCATTATTTGAATTCGTATGTAATATTATGTATTTAGTTTTAGCAAGATTATATATGTTATTTTCTTGTTTGTGGATTTTATAGGCTTTCCGCTTCGCATTATATAGGAATTTGGATATTCGAGGAATTCTAAACTATATTCAATGAATTTTTCTTCATCACGAAAATATTGATGACTACAAATTCTATGTAGTTCTTAAATCTATAATTCTGTTAGATTTTATTTTGCTTAGAGGTCTTAAAAGTTCATGAAAACATCCTTGTCGGTTGATTTTCGATAGATGTTTAATTTCAGATCATTATCAGTGCGGTTTAACATGATATCAAGAAACGTTAATTGTTTGTTTCTCTTTCACAAGAAAATTCAAATGTATATTCAATTTCGTTTAGTGTTTCAAAATCAGATAATGTTGTTTTGTGGGGATATATTAATAAAGAAATATTTTTGGAATGCCTATTTTCTACAAATTCTAAGGAATGACATGCTAATTCACCACTAAGAGGGAATCCCACTACATTTCTGTTTGTAAAAATTCTTATCGAAAGTGAAATAACATTGGTTCCTGATAAGTTGGTAAATCCTTAAAATTTTGCCAGTTGGTAGAGAATTTTTAATTATCATTTTACGAGACATTTCTTTTGGAGATTGAAATCTTTAGTTAATTGGTACGTTAAAATCTCTGATAAACTTGTTGAAAGCCATATATGTGAAGGACAAATTCACGGAGAGCTTCACTATTACATCTTTATAAGGTAGCAGAACGTAATCGTAATTTAGTAAACTTAGCACAGCTAGTGAAGGTACTAATGGTCAAGTAAAACAGATTGCTGTGGTGGACGTTAACCGAAAATAGAGGATTCGGGATTCAGTCATTTTAGTTCACTGATTTGATGTTGAAGTTCAATATACAATAACGTAGAAGGATATTTGGACAAAGGACATTGATTAGCATGAGTTCTCTATCAGACTTACAGTTAGGGAGACGCATGCGCAATAAAGAACGATGGATTTCATCTTGTGGCACATTCCTTGATTTTATTTGTTTAAACACATATGCAATTTATACAACTATAACCTTTTCTCTCGGGTCGGGCTTGATAAAAAAATAACTTTCCATGAATTGAGCCTTAAATTTCTTGAACAATTTATTTTATATTTTGCCTCGTAATTTTTGTCACAAAATATCGAAAGTTGAAAAAAGAGTCATTCGGCAAAATTTTTCATCAGTAAAATTGAATTTTCTACTATTTTCATTTTTAGCCTAACTTTGATGATTTCGATTAGCTTTGTGTCTTTCAAACAAATCCAACATAAAGAATTTCCAAAATTATTTCACAAATTTGACAGTCTGGTTCTTCAGATAATCCCTAAATCAATAATATATCTTGCAACGCACAGACATTCACTGCATGTGCATAGTTTTCATTAAGAAAGAG